TTCCGATCTCACCCTTCTCCTCCCCTCTAGCCACCATTACTTCCTCCACGTGGTCACGGTTCCCCCGTCCATGTTGGGAAACACTTGCTCCCCTCTCCAGGTGGACTTTGACAGAGAGTTCATATTCTCGTTGAGCTGGACGACAACTGAGAGTCACAAGTGACTGCTTCTCAGTGTCCTATTAATCAGAGTCATGCAAAGAGGGGAGGAGAATCCTTCATTTCCCCAACGGCAGCTACCCACAGAGCACAGCACAGTTACTTGGTCTCGCTAGAGATTTTACTTGCATGTTTTTTCCACACAGCTGAAAAACACCAGGGCAGCAGGTAAAATGGGAGTCATGGCCCCCAAGAAAGACATAATCTGCTACAGATGCATGGCGCTGGATCCCTCACTGCATTGCTTTGTCAGGTTTGAGGGCCACGCTCCAAAGGCAGATGGGGGCTGAAACGTGCATCTTGTACTAAATTATTTAGATGCCTAAATGCTTTTTTTGAACTATTCTTGGACAGGTTCCAAGGACTCCTGTGACCATGAAGATTCATTTATCCTCTAGGCATTAGGTAGTTCAACTTAAGTTGTTAAGGTGTGTTCCTTAACTTCCACAACTTAAGTGTTAAGGTGTGTATTTATTGCCATGAGTAGGTGAGCCAGAGCAACACATTACAGTTAAACTGTTGCCAAGTTTCTGTGCTAGTACAAAATCTGTCTATTTTTGTATGTGTTGCACTTTAGAAACTTTAGAAACTCTGAATTGGCTTGACTTTCCAGGGGTTCATAAACCTGTGAAATGTCTTTCTGGTCCTGTAGGCATAATCACTTGGGCAAGACATAAGCATGAGCTGATGCTTCAACAGCTTTCACTTGTTGTAACAGCTCATGGGATTTAAAGGATGGTTTTCTACAGAGAAATGAGCTCAAACTAAAATCCACAGCTCAAGAACTACACTTGGCAGAAGTTCAAAGATAATGTGTTGTTCCTGTACCACTGCACGCAATTTTGGATCAACCATGCATCCAATGCCACAAGGCTGTTTGTGTTTCCTTTCTATGCTCTTAGCACTGAGGGCAGCAAAGGAGAGAATTCTCTCTCCAGCCATACAAGCCCTGGCAGGTGTGGCTGACTGGTGTTGCTGGCTGCTATCATCCATCAAGTGGCAACAAAGGGAAATGCAAGTGTAAGATGTATTTCAGTGTCTGAAATAGCCACTGCAAGCTGCATGGGGCCAAGGAAGGATGTACAGGGCAGGACAGACCCAGGCTGGGGTCTTGGAGCACTGGGAAGGATACACAAAGAAACCATGCTAGCACTGTGACTGCAAAAGCAGATATTGGCCAACAGCGAACCCCAAAATAACAAGTGACTGTCTGCTCTTAGATGGAGAGGATAATTTAGTCCAGCCTCTAGTCCAAGTTTTCCTTTTGGCTGCCTGCTTTCACAGAGCATTTCGGTGCACATGGGCACCAAAGTCTCTGCAATGATCCCTTCTTGCTGACTTTTGCTGATGCCTAGCAGTTTTTGACTCTGAAACCTCTAGATCAGCAATGACTCCCATCCCTGTACCCTTCACAAAGGATCTGTCTAGTTTACCCCCTTTCTGGAAGCATCCGGGGAGGATATGGCCAGGCTTGTGGGCAGAAACATTTCATTTTGGGCTTATTCTCCCCAGACATTGTTATCTCCAGGGCCAGCTTCTGGACTGCTCCACTGCTAGCAAGAATTGAGGCTGTGACATCTCCATCCTGAAGCAGATCTCTAAAATAGATAGCCTAGGATAGAATAGAATAGCCCATTTCAGTTGGAACAGATGGATCTGACAAATCTCCCCTCTGCACTTGGAGGAAAGCATGTGATGCCTAGCCTTGGTACACACTAGCAGGGAGACTCTGCCTTGGCAATGTCAGCTCAGTGTGGAATGTGGCAAGCATCTCTGAGCAGGGATGGGAATATTAATATTTTGCACAGTTGCAGTGCTTTATATCCCCCCACTTCTCCAGCCGTGTATGTTAGGATGTCTGATGATGTCTGATGACCATCTGCCTCACGCCCCTAGGCTGAGATATCAGAAGCAGTATGGTCATTGCCTCCCTAAGCAGCCATGGCCCCAGGCAGCCCCTCTAACCCTTCAGACTACACTCACAGGAGTGTCACAGGAAGGTGTCCACTGTGGCCAGGAAGGGTGGGTGAAGCGGTTGAACCAAGGGGTCTGGAGCTCCAGCTGGCTTGGGGAGTCCTCAGTCTCCTGCTCCCCTCTGAGCTGTCCCAGCTCCTGTCAGTCCTGCTCCTCCTACCCAGGCAGCTCTGGGAACGTGTGTCCAGCCAGACCAGACTGGGGACTGTGGGGTAAGCACTGGGGTAGGAGTGGGGATGTCAGGCAGATGTCCTCTGTAAAGACACTGCCAGTCTTGATCAGAGGAGGATGGTGCATGCCATTGCCCCGAGGTATCGGAAGCCATCTCTGCTCCATTTACAGGACTCAAGCGCCTGAGTTCCCCGGGGTGGCTGTCCTCTTACCATCAGTGCTCCAGTTTTGGACTCAGTTTATAACCAGATGTTAGGCCGAATTTCTGTTGTAAAGGTAAAAACCACTGGTACCGAAGCGCCTTGGGCCGCGACCTCGCTGTGGGCTTTGTGCAGGCAGAACGAGCGCCTTGCTCACCGCAGCGGGGGCAGAGTTCAGGGTTGCCAGCCTGAGCTGCCCCCGAAGAGGGTGTCCCCGCTTAGCCCTCTGCAAGCTGCCTACCTCCCCTCACTGCCCACCTCCACACCTGCCTTGTCTGCTCGCTATGCCAGCCTGGCTTGCCCTGGTCTGTCTCCTGCTTCGCCCGGCTACCAACCGGCTGCCTCCAGCTTAGGTTGTGAGCTCTTCCAGAAGCGCTAGGGCCTCTAGGGACAGAAAACAGGGAGAGTGGGCATAGTGTCGCTGTATGCCAGGGGAAAACCTCCCGCTCCCTCCCCATCACGAGTTAAAGAGCTGCCTCCTTCCCTGGAAAGGGCCCACTGACCAAGGACAGAGCTTCTCCACAGCCCTTGGAGAGCAAGGAGGTGTTAGACCTGTCTGGGGAGAACACCAGCCCCACGAGCATGTAGGGGAGGAGGACTTGCTCAAAAACGGACGTGTTCTTGATTGCTCAGCTGCTTTGGGGATTGATAATCTGGCTGCTGTTATTGCAAACCTTCTTGGCATGTTTCAGGCTGTCCTCTCCTTCTACAGACTGACAGGCTGCAAACTGCCAGGGAGCCTGGAAAAACTCTAAATCTAAAAAGGGGCACATTGACTGCCCAAGACAAACACCTCCTACCCTGTACTGAGGCTGCAGCAGGGGCCGAACCTCCCCCTATGTCTCCCAGCCATGACAGGAGGAGGAGAAAGAGGACAGCACCTTACAGGATGGGTTACACCCAGCCTTCATGCCACTCTGAACCATGGGTGACCCTCGGGGACACAGCCACCTGCATCTGGGAGGAGGGACTGAACCCACCGTGTTTGTGGTTCCTTTAGTTGCAGGCATTAGCCTCTGAGTTGAAGGCGGGTTTCACAGAAGCGATGCAGGAACTATCACGAATCCAGCATGGCGAGTACGCCCTGGAGGAGAAGGTCAAGAGCTGCCGCTGTGCCATGGAAGAGAAAGTGGCCGAGATGAAGAATTCCCTCAACACGTTCAAGGTAGGAGTGTGACCTGCGGGGGGGCTGCATACCTACGACATTAGCTCAAGTGACATGGGGCAGCATTCCCCTGCCTCCATCCATCTTTCCTGCTTGCAAAGAAAATGAGCTGGCAATTGTTTCAGATGTATCTGGTGCACTTCCTTTGGCTTTGTGCCTCCCCCGACTACTCCAACCCAAAGGTAGCCCATGCCCTGGCCACTTTAGCCTTCTCAACAGGCCATGAGGCAGTGCTGCGAGCTACTCTGGGCACAAGCAACCCTTGTGCTGGGCTACACATGCAACGGGCATATGGCCTGCTCACAGGCTGCTGCTGGGCCACTGTGCCATACCTCTCCCTGGGTCAGGCCTTCTGCATTTCCTGCAGGAACCAAAGCTGCTGGGGAGCAGGGAATTAACACAAAACCCTAAAGCCTTTTGAAGTTGCATTCCCACATGGCTGGGAGGAAGTGCTGCCTGGTTTGATCTGGCCCAAGAGGATAAAGACAAAGGACTGGAGGGAGAGCCTAGCAAGAAGGCTTGATGTACACTTTAAACCAGCCAGCGTCTCTGTGCAGAAACTGGATGACTGCCTGTGAGGAGGCAGGCAGAGGAATTGTTTTATTGTTTTTATAGTAAATTTTCCCCGTGGGGTTTTGCTAAGTCAATAATACCTTGTGAAGTTAAAGAGGGCTACTTACTGGAAAAGCCCATTACTGACCCTCTAACAGGGAGAGATAGATGACACCAGGCAAAAGGAGCTCTGTGGTCCCAGATGAGCAAGGGAGACAACAAGAAGTATAAGGGCACATGGCAGAGGTCTCAAAGCAACCAGAGGTAGGGTTATCCAGGATATTGTTATGGGGGAAAAAGGGGTTTTAAAATCCAGATACAAGGAATTATGCAAGCAACAAGAGGGGCAAAGGCTGCTTACCCTCTACCTCATGCCTATGTTGACTGTCCAAACACTGAGCTCCCAGTGAAGCCACCTTCTTGCTTGGGGAAAATCCCTCTCCTTTGATTTACAAGAAACTCCTGAGTCAGTCTCCTCCATCCTGCTGGTCACATTGATGAAATCTGCAGGAACTTCATGCATCAGAGAGCTCTACATCCAAGTAAGGCTTGGTTGAAACTGCCTGAGGGAGGACATGCTGACAGGGAGGTTACAGAGGGCCTCATTTCCATAGGAAACCAGGCTAAAAGGCAGCTCCAAAGTCTGACTGGCAAAAGCTTATACATGTGAGTGATCACACTGGGATGTGAATCAAGTACAACATGTGAATACACATGCTGCAGAACTGCAAAGGGAAACATGCTTCCTCAGGCCCACTTCCAAATGCCATTAAAGGCAGGAGTCCTCCCAGTGCTTTCAGCTGGTGGTGGATGAAGCCCTATGTCTCCATCTCCCACCAGTGCCTTAACCATGTGACATCACGCTGGCTTGGGTGAGTTGCCTGTAGTTGAATTAAGGATTACCATGCTGTGCCTGGCATGTATTACACACACTAGACTTGGAAAGGAAGACTGTCTAATCACAGAGCCACTCTCTGCAGCACCCTGAAGCATTTCTAGTGCACACCAGCCAGCATTCAAAGCTGTGCTATGTAAGGCTGATGGGCACCCTGGGAATGCTGTGCTTTTGCCTGTTTCTCAGGAGGAGCTGAGCGATGCAAAGTCAATGATTGAAGAAATCAGTGCCAAGCAGGAGGAAATGCAACAGAAAATTGAGCAGCTGCAGCAAGAGAAGCGGCGGGAATCACGGAAAGTGAAAGCTAAGTAAGGACCTGAACTCTAGGGCTCCAGAAGTGCTAATTAGCAGTGGTGTCCGTTTTGTTCATTTCCTTATAGCTTAATTTCTTAATCTTTCCCTGGCTGGACATGAGTATCAACCCTGATTATTACTGGAAACTCTAGCCTTCAGTTCACCCCAGGCTTTTAGACACATACCCCATAGAGCAAACACAGCAGAAAAACACCAACACCTCACTGGAATTCCAACAGCAAAATAGCCCCAGCAACTCTCAGGGAAATCAGGGCCTGGTGAAACACACAGACCTGCTAGAGACATGGTGGGGCAGGAATATTGTTGAAAGTCAGTAGCCTTCACTATTACAAGCTATTCCTGCTAAACCACCCCCATCCAGACAACAGCACTGCAGTTTCCCCTTCCAAGCGTGCAGGACTCAGTGGGCTCCTGATGGTGCAGTCATGCTCTGCTTTCCTGTCACCAGCCTTTTCTTTTCTGAGCAGGGTCGTGCAGAAGCATGTTTGCACACAGCTGGGCCACACTGTTGCTGCGATGAAGCAGACAGCTTGTCCACCTTGGCCCTGATTAGCCTCCTTCTGAAAACAGAGTTTTGATGATGGGTGTATAGCTGCCTTGAAGCAAACGCTTTGCAAATCTAGGCTAGCCCCTTAGCTAATTAAGCCATTTAATTAGATGAAATTTAATTAGATGAATATGCAAAAGAACAGATCTGAAATAACCTTCTCCTATAGCCAATGGAAGTTACTTCCAGAACATTGTTCATGAACTGCATCAAAGCCAACTCCATCAAAGCCAACTCCTTTCCTGGTCTCTGCTGGAGCTGTCCTACTTCTGACTCTATGTTTGTACTTATACTGGTGTCTGCCACAACTGTAGTGTAGGAGCTTCACCTATCGCATTTGTACTTTCCAACTGTCTCATTCTTTGTATTTGTACAGAAGAGCACAGAAGGATGATCATGGGTCACAGACAGTGCCTACACCTCTCCAGGGCAGCCCATTTCGATCCATCAACCTCCCAGAACCTGTGCTGATCAATGAAGATTTTACAAGTCTTTTACACAACATGACTTACGAAAAAGGTAGGAAATAGAGTAGGCAAATTCAGTGCCTTCATCAGGAAAAAAATCCAGAAAAAGGTCACTAGGGTAAGAGGACACCAAGTTTTCCTCAGGTGCCAGCAGCACAAAAAGAGAATGGAGGTGCTCCCCTCAGCAGCAGCGCTCCTGGGTCTGTGCATGCACATCTGCACAGTGTCTCAGGATAGCAACCTTGGTGCTAGCCTGGATTCAGGAGATGGTGCTTTGTGAACACTGTCCCAAAAGCCATTGCTTGCCTCCTCCAAGGAAAGGGAAGCAGGCTGGATCTTCTTCCATGTAATGCTAGTGGCACAGACACAGAGCTAAGAAGGAGCCCCTGATAAAAATACTACAACCTGTGGATTTGTTTCTGTGTAAGGGAGCAGGGCACAGAAGGGAGGATCACGGGGATTGGGCTGACAGAGAACACCTGGTGTCATTAAGGGGCCATACCAGTGGTTGATTTGACAAGGGGACATGAGAGCTCGTACATATACACACTAGGCTACTGGTATCACTGCTCCTTGCATATACAGACTGCTAGGAGAATCACTGCCCCTTGTTAGCTGTGGAAGCTGCTAACCCATGGTGCTAGGGTTACACCTTGACCAGGAAAACACAGTCAACTGCCAAACACTTGTGAAGGTTGGAATCAAAGAAAAGGTGATGGACCAGAGCCTTTTTTTCCTATAATTAACTTTGGGGATCTAAACTGGTCTATCACTCTCTTGCTGTTCAGATAGGAAGACACTAAAAACATATACATTTAAAATGTCAACAAAGGTAGAGATTACATTAAAACCACGTGCTGTTTTCTACTCTGTTCTGCTTGGAATCTGGCCAGTCATGGCCCCCTTTTGCCCTACTCTGAGGCGCTATGTTAGCCCTCTCCCTCACATCCCTCTTGCACATCCACTTCTCTCACCCACTTCTCCCACTGCCCCTTTCTTTCCAGTTGTCTCACCCCTCCACTCTTCAATAAGCTCCTTTCCACCCAGAATGGCAGCTGTGTCTCTGTGTCAGGCCTCCATCCTCTTGTTCTGCCTGCTGGGTGCCTTCTACCCAACGTGCACCTACTAAGCAAGGACAAGCCCAGAACTGCTCACATTCCTCTGCAGTCATACAGTACCAAGCACAACAGGGACCCCACATTAGCTTGCCAGCAGGTGCTACTGAAACAAAGACCGCAACAAGAGCCACTTAGTGGAGGATCTAACAGGGGTGTTTCCATAGTAAAAATGAAAGACTGGAGGATCTAACCATACTGACTGGGCTTGGCAGAACAAAGCCTGCTCTACAGCTGTCTTCTCTTGTAAAGTTTCCCTTTGTTCTTCAACAGTGTCTGACACCAGGATCATGCCAATGGGAGAAGGAAGTGTGAAAGTCGTAGCAGGTCCAGGTAGGAAAAATATCGAACTGTCAAAAAACAGTAGGACATTGATTCAATTAGAGTGCTTGCTTTACTGCACTGAAGAAACGCTTTCAGGGAACGCATTTCACAGGAATGTCTTTCACTTTGCCATGTACCTCCATTTTCACACTTGCAGTTGAGATATGAGGGCAAACCTGTGTCCCTGAAGTGCCAAATACCTGACAAAAAATGCAAAGGATTGATATTTGGCAGGGAAAGCCTTTCTGCTGCTGCTTTCGGAGGTTCTAAGTGCCTTTGCAGAAAAGAAGAATTGAGGCTTACTGATATGGCAAAGAATAATGAGAGTGCCATTTTGCTGCTTGGGGAGAGATGGTCTTTGCAGTGACTACACACCAGTAGAACTGGTGAGCTGTTTATTCGCCCACCAGCTTCCAGATTCCAGACATGCCTGAATAGTAACAGAGAAGTTTTTCTGGCAAAAATAAAAATTGGTCAGAAGTAAGAGAAGGGTATAGTAAGGGGACACTAAGGATCCTGGCCAGCAGAAGGACACATGAGAAAAACCATTAGATATTTGCACTGTTCACTACAAGCACTCACTGTTCTGGATGGCTCTTTTGCTTGAATCCACTTGAAAAAAAGAGAGAACAAAAGCTATGGAAAATGATCCATTGCAACCCAAATTCAAAGTGTTTGCATTAAAGCAATTCCAGCCCAATGGCTCCAACACACCTACACCCTCCCCTACCTTTTCTGTGATTTAATAGCCTCAGACTATCAGTCCTGCTGCTGCTGTATAATCACATCACAGTAACAAAAATGTTAAGAGCCATGACAGTTTACATCCATTAAGAATGGCATTTAAATCCAAATTATAATACTTTCTGTTTCAATACCTGCCAATAAGTGTCATGTTACCAAGTCCTGAAGTGTCCCAAAACCCTGAAGTGCAACCATATTTGGAATATATGGGTTTTTTTTTCTAACATGTGTCTAATTTTGGACCTTATCTGGCCTGAAATAAATGCTGGAAGAGTGCAAACCTTGTTCTGCCAAAGTGCTCGCCAACTGCACTTCCATTTGTAAATTAATGCTACAAGGCTACAGCCCTTGTGAAGCACAAAGAATACTTCAAACTCTCCTTCCAGTACTTCAAATGGATGATAATGCAGGTTAGCTGCCTGCTGTAGCATAACCCATCAACTGAGATGTCAAGATCCATACAGCTGTTTGTCATTGCAGGAGCAACCATAGAGACAGACGACAGCCTCAAGCCCTCCTTGACAACAGAGGGGCAGTCTAAAGTGCATCTGCCGTCAACAGTGTGGAAGCAGCCCAAGGACACCAAGGAATGGGGAGATGAATACATTTCCAAAGAGCAACCAGAGAGAGGGAAAGACATGGGTCAAAGCAGATACAGCTCAGCAGACAACATTATATGTGAACCCTCTTTGGCTGGTAAGGACAGAGTGTAAAACTCTAGCCAGAGAGGCTCAAAGCTGCATTCACACCTGGTGTGAGCTGGTTGGTAATCAGTTTCTACAGAGAGACACACAATCCAGTTTCTCCTGCTAGGGGGGGATGTCTCAGGGCCTCAGTCTCCAAGACTCCTGGGCTTTGTATTTGCTGGTCTGTGCCATTGACAGAATCGCTCTGCACCCAGGACACCCATTCTCCTTTCCAAGACCTGGCAGGTTCAGAGTACTGATGGGATTGTGACAGTGTAGTTGCTTAAGCAGGTGAAAAGCAGGAAACTGGATGCGAATCTCTGGTATGAGTTGTTTTGCCTTTGATTGCTTGTTTTGTTATTCTTAGAAAAAAAATGGTATTCATAGGGGAAAACACATTTGCTTTGGAGCTTTCTTAGCAAACTGCAGCTACAGTCATGTCTGGGGCATGCTGTAGCATCAGGCTACAATTTTCTATTTTGCGGAAAGTAGACACACGAAGACAAGACATTGGTGTCACTTTTCGACAGTTTCTCCTTTCATGATTTAATGTCAGATCACCAGTCTAACATGAGGTTGTCCTTGAGATCAATATTTCCTTATTTTTAAACTTAACCATTATCTTCTGGAAGCCAAAAGGCAGAACATCGCTTTGGAGCTGCTGGAGTCAGAAAGGAAATACGTCATCAACCTTTCTCTAATCCTGAAGATCAAGGCCACATTGCAAGGGCCAGATGTGAAAAGGAGCACCAAAGAGAGAAGGTATTTGATTTAGTACGCTCTCTCTTTTGGGGAGTTTTCTTCAGTCAATATTCTTTCTGCATCATCCTCTCTCACGCTTTTCTTTCATCCACACAGAGATCTTTGAATACTTAGAGCTTTTTTCTAGTTGAAAATTGGAGGCACTGGAAGGTTTTTACAGTGATTAAAGACTTTCCTGCCTGTCCTTGCATCTTGTCCACTTTGCATCCCAAATCATTTCACTACTACTTCATTTCAGTCTCCTTCTGAGTCCCATTAGTCTCCTATTCTTGTTTCGCATGCCTCCTGCCTGGGTGGGAATGAAGCTTTGTGTGTTCACTGCCTGCTTCTCCCAGTTCACAGCTCCAGCTCTAAAAGCTGCTGTGGGCATAAGCCCCTGGCTAGTGGCTGCCATCCATCAGGTATCAATATATACAGACATATACACGTATTTACACACAGATATAAGACCAGTGGGACTGACCCAGCTTAGCAGTTAAACCCAGCTCTTTGCAAAGGCCATTCCCTGTGGCAGCTGTTAGTTCCCAGGATGGGATAGCTGCTACAGCTCTCCCCATTCACTCAGCTTCAGCCTGGGAGTTCCCAGCCCCTAAGCACATTTGGGGAGCCCAGTCCGTGCTAGCTCTCTCTTTTTTGGCTCTTTCCACTGTCCCTAGGAGTCCCACATCCATGGAGTCATTTTACAAAAGTCCACTGTGGGACATGTGGTACATGGGTTGATGTGGACTCATTAAAGCAGTTACATGACACACACAGTTCAAACTGAAGTATGATGGTCCAAAGTGAGTTTTTATTTTTACTCTTTTTCCCTAGGACCTTTCCATCTGGCAAAATATTTCGATATTTGATATCTTCATTCTGATTCTGGATGAAATCAGCATGAAATCACAGAAAGGCAGTAGCACGTTTTGACCAGCTCTGCATCAAAGGGTTGTTAAAGGGCCTGACAAATGAGACAACATACAAAGCCGGGGAGCTCTCCTCCAAGCATTCTATGGGGTGGCTCAAGACCATGGTCCTGCTTCATTAGCCACAGCAGCATTGCCTTGGGCTTTTTAGTTCAGCAAATTCTGGTCAGCTACACAATGCACTGGAGAGTCAGCCTAAGAAACCTTCAAAACACTAATAACAGCCTACTGGAGAGGGTACCTGCATGTACATAACAGCTAAAACAGGGCCTCCTGGTGCAGCCAGGACTCCAATAAAAGTAGTTAATAATACCTGTGTTTAAAGTAAGCCTGTGCTGACCACCCACGAATGCACACTTCAGCAGCACATACTTAGGGCTGAGCTTCTGCTCTGTGTAACCAGTCTGATATCGTCTCTCTTCAGTTTCTTCCCCAACTCTTTGCGGTACCTGGTCCAGCAGCATGTCGATTTACTTCACGCTCTACAGGAGCGAGTCCTGAGCTGGCCACGACAAGGGATCCTAGGAGACATCTTCCTGAAGTTAACAAATGATGAGGTGTGTTACAGACCTCCCTGGACTCTTCTGCTATGATTCATGGTGTTGTGCTGATGGCCCACAGGTCAGCCGAGATGCTTTGCAACAGAGGGGCTGTGCTGTGAAGCTGTGCCTAGTGTAAGGCCTTTCAGCCAGCCTCCTTTGAACAGAGTCCCGGTGTATGGTAGCTCCTTTGTTATAGTACTTGGTTGGTCAGGGAGCCCACATGCCAGACCCACCTGGGGGCATGCAGCCACATAGCATGGCCCTATAATAAATGCACGAGACCTAGACTTGGTTGCAGGAGCCACACATGAGCCTTGACAGCTTGGATGTCTATTCACAGTGAGGGTGTGAAAAGAGCGTGTTTCTCATGCCCTCCTTCCCCAATACACTGTGCTCAGAGTTATGACAAGCCAGTGGGCAGGCCCCTTATCCTATATGGTTTGTAGCCCCAAGTAAAACAGCACCTCCTTCTCAGGGCGAAGGACCCCCGGCGAGCAGTGGGACCTCTCCTGCAAGGATGTGTAAAAACTCATCTGATGCTTTATAAATTTTAAGAGTCTTAAATAAGAAAAGCTTCTTCCTCCCCAGCCTCTCTACCCCTCCCATCTGCTATAAAGCTTTATACACTGAGCTCAACAGCTGAACACATTTTATTAAACGGCCTTTCTTGAGAAGTCCCAAGCCCCGAAAGCTTCATACAGTTAGCAGCTCTGCTGCACTGATAAGCTCCCAGGATTGATGGTGGGGAATGAACAGTTTCTTGTTCTGGCTGATTTTATGACCAAAAATCTCTCTTAAGTTTCTTTGTTCTTTTCTTTTTTCCTTTTGTAAGAATAATTTTCTGGACTACTATGTTGCTTACCTGAGGGACCTGCCAGAATGCATCTCTTTGATCCACGTGGTGATCCTGAAGGAGGTAAACTTCCTGCCTGCTTCACAGACACGTAATGGCAACATGCAAGCCTGTATCTCTTTCCTGTTATGCCTGCCCACGATAGGACTCTTCTGCCAATCCACTTGTTCTGTTACCAAATGCCAGTTTCCCAAATGTTGCCATGGCTGACGTGCACCTACAAAAGGCAGCTTTAACGTATTCATTACTGTGTGTGATCAAAGCTATATTTCTGCTGTGACATGAAATAATATCTCAGATCAAATCTCCCAGAAAGCTTGTCTATGCACATGCTATCCAGACCTGTCCCAGGCAAATGGAAAAGGTAGGACTCATCCAAACAGGGAGACCGAAAGTGAGGCTGTATGTGCTTTAGAGAGAAAACAGTCTCTACTGTTCAGCTTCAAGTATTTGGTCTCACACCCTTGATTCTTGGTTTAAACTAGGAAAGTTAAATATAAAGGTAGTTTTAAATTGCAATAACTAAACCACAGCAGTTCACTTCCAAGACATCTTAATTTAGAAGTCAATCTCATTTTGTTCAATTCATTTGGGCCTAAACTAAGAACTTCATTCTGAACAACAGCGACTACCTGGGATTTCAATGAAGCTTAACTAGTGCACTTTAAACATACACCCCTACTTAATTAGGCTGAGTATCCCTCGTAGATAATCCCCAACCTAAGGAATTTCATCCTTAGGACTAGTATTGCTGGTGGAAGGAGTTGCAAATATCCCTTCCAGAAGCAAGATGAAGACCCGGTGTATTGTCACCCACAACTGCCACTTGACTGGTGTGCTCCTGTGAACTGTTATAACTACTTACAGCATAACTACTCATTAAGCCCCAGAATCATTTGGAAGCAGACATGTTTTATGGGTGGGAGAGACTCTGAAGTCACTTTCTCTATTTCAGGTAGAAGAAGAAATCAAGTCTGATCTCTACATTCTGTTCTTCCATATAGTCCAGCGAATCCCTGAATACCTTATTCATCTACAGGTAGGGCCCCAGGATGGAAACTGTCTTGTTGAACTCTTACCACAACATGCGACTTTTAACTCAGAGCTGGTATTCAGGCCTGTATGCTACAGGACTTCTGGCTAACCCAGTGGGCTCTCTGAAAAAAACCTTTGAAAGGGAAAGTCAGCTGAGAATGGCTTAATTTTCATCATTTTCACCTGAAGCTTGCTTCTATCTGCCAGTTTCTCCATTTGGCTTGACAGAACCAATTTGTGTCCCCTGGGAAGCCAAAAGCTCTGCTGCCTGCTGCTCTGGGAGAACAGGAGGCCAGAGATGGGGCACATCTACTGTGAGCTCCGACCTAACTCCTGTAACAGAGCTGTCCTCTTTGCTGAGTGGTCCACATGCCTGTTAGCTGAGAGACTGAGAGGCTCCGAGGGCCCAACAACCTTTCCTACACAGAGCTTGCTGATAAAAAGAGTTCTGGTTCACAGGAAGGTTATCTGAATTGTACTAAAACATTTCAGACAAGGCAAATGACACAGAAAGCAAGCCCTACAAGAACAAGAGATCAGTTTATTTATCCAATGCTAAACTCAACCAGTGCATCACCCACACAGTGCATCCCACGACTACATTTACAGTGGTTACTTGTGTATTTGCACTGGAGCAGTAGGAGGCAGGCCTTGTCCAAGTCCCTCAGACACTGGTGCTGCGTAGAAGAGCTCCCACCATGCTCCCACAGGGCAGTGCCATGGGCACTCCAGAACACTAATCCATGGTCCCAATAGCAGTTTCTCCCCAGAAAGGGTTAGGACACCCTCCAAACAGCCTGCTCTCCTCTGTGCCCCAGAATGTCCTGAAGTTCACGGAGCAAGAGCATCCTGACTATTACCTGCTGCTGGTGTGTGTGCAGCGCCTCCGCGTTTTCATCTCACACTATAGCCTCCTCTTCCAATGCAATGAAGACCTGCTTATACAGAAGAGGAAAAAGCTGAAGAAGTAAGCACAGTATCAGCTCATTCTCTCTATCACCAGGGAAAGGGAGGTGTGGGACCTAAATAGGGGGTTTAGGTCCAGGCAAGATCAACAGGCACATTGCTCTGTTGAAATAAAAATAAGCCCTTTGCATATGAATGCTGGAGAAGGCCCACTATTGGCATTTGTCCTCTAAACTGAGGTCACATTTAGGGTGGGCCCTTCTGTCTAATTCTGAGAGTGAAAGGAAAATCAGTTTAATCCTTCTAAACACAGCAGCCACGTGTTTCATGGGAACATTTGATTCCTTAAGCTGATGGCAAAGTCACTCCCCAGTGGGAGAATACATGGGGACTTAGTTGCTTTGGCAGCTCAGGGCCCTGGTGAACTTCCAAGACTGTTGTCTGAAGCCCTCATAGGCTAAGACTGAGAAAGAAAAAAGAAAGTGTTATCTTATTTTACTGGGGGAGTGGGGTGGGAGAAACAAAAGCCTCCTATAACCTGTTTGAGATGAACTGTGACAGAAATGACCCTGAATGTAGATTCTCAAGTTGTGGTTCAGAAGAGATCCTTGAAATCAAGACTTCTTACTAAAATCAAAATCCAGTTGCCTTTGCTCCTTGTGATGATTCACTGGGGGAGTGCAACAAGATCAAACTTCAAGGGAAGCTTCCAAATATGGAGGGTGGTAAAGGGCTGGAGCAGACTGCTGGGGAGGGACTGCTATCAGGAGAGGCATTAAGAACAGGACAGAAAGCAGGACGCCCTGCTGACTGGGACAGACTAGGTGGAACAGGTCCTTCCTTGGGGCGGGAGGAGGTGAATGGGAATATTAAGGTCCCTCCCAGCCCTGTTTTCTGTGATTCTACATGCTCGTGCTCATTCCCTGCCTTATTTCTTAGCACGACGATGGATTTCTCCTCCCTCAGGTCATCCCTGGTGAAGCTGTACAAAGGTCTCACATCCCAGTGTACGAGCCAAGAGGTTTCTCCAACACCCAGTGCGACATCTATCAGGGACAGCGGGATCCACTCTGAAGAGACAATACAGTCGTTCCCACCAGCACCTTCCTCTGGCACAACAACCCCGTAAGCCTATTGTCCTAGTAGAAGAATTTCAAAGTAGGCTGAAAACTCTCTCCTCACCCATACTATGCCAGGGACACTAGGCAGTTACAGACTGTCATTTCCAAGACTACTCCCTGTGTATGCATAGAGAGATGAAGGGCTGGCTCCTTCCTGCTATCCATTACCCTGTGGCTTACAAGCAGGAAACATTTCAGAGCCCTATCCAGGGCTGTGAATGCTCTGGCTAGCTGTCTTAACAGTGTACCAGGGAGGACATGTATTTGTGTAGGCCTGGCAGTGGTGTGCATAGCAACATTCCGCATTATTCACTGTCAACATTACAAGAGCTAGGAAACATGACCAAGGTCTCAGACTAGCAAAAAAAGTACTTTTCCACACAGCACGTCATTTAATGATGGGACTCGCTATCACAAGATGCAAGTACAAATGAGTTCAAAAAGACACAAGACTAATTCAAGAAAAACAGGGCTACTGGTAGCACCTGGCAATCTTTGGCCATTTCTAGCCTACTGATACATGCCAACTGAGATGATGATCAGAGAAGCACACTAGACTTGCCTTTTTTCTTATGTCAGCAATTCATAGCTGTTGTGCTTCCTTACATCATTTGACACTAACAAGAGTTTGGCTTATCATTCTGAGTCCCCCTCAAGTGGTAGTGTTATTAGATCAATCCCTAGCCTCCTTATCACCAGACTACCCAAGCCAATCTCCTTCCCCTCACAGACGCGATGCTCTAGGGCCCCATCTTGGTAGCCTCAGCTGGCGCCTCCCCAGTTTCCCCACATTCATCCTGAACTGAGGACCCAACATGGGTCCAGGTAGGGCCTCATCAGCTCTGAACAAAAGGGGGGAAAATAACTCCCCAGGCTCGGCAGACCATAGCCTCCAGACAAGGCAAACCCTGACTTAATACAGCTCAGGTCAGCATTTGCCTTGTCTGCTATGACAGCATGCTGTCAGCTCGTCTTTACCCTGGCATTGGCTATAACCCTAAGTTCATACCAGGGCTGCTGCTCAACCCAAATCTCCCAGCCTTGGTCTGATGCATGGGGTTATCTTGCCCCAGATGTAGAGTTCTGCACGTCTTGAACATCACAAGGTTTCTGTTTCCCCACTTCATTCATTATGTCCCCAGAAGATGACAGTGGGACTTTTCTAAGTAGTGTTCATTAAGGGCCCCACCCTGCACCTAATACCTCATATCCAATGCAGTACTCTCTGCTGACTTACCTGGAACATACGGAGGGTAGGAGCCCTCCAAGTACTCCTTACACACTTCTGGGGACAGAGTCACCCTACCTAAGAGAGGAACCTTGTCTACCTGAAAAGACAATCAGACAACAGGAAAGTAAGACACAGCCGCTACATTACAGAAAGAGAAGGAAAATAAAAATCCAAAATGCAGATGAACAGGTGAGAGATGGAGCAGTTGGCTTCTCATCTGTTTCTATTCATTTCATCGTGTAGAGTACAAAAGTCAGCCAAAGCTACTGGATAAGCAGTTCTACCCCCACAAGTTTGCTCCTGCTAACCCAGCCAGGCAATTTCTGTTAGTGGCAGCTCTGTTACTGTTCTCCAAGATATGAAAATACCTTTTGGCCTTAAAAGCAAGAGAATGGCGTTGGGGGAGTGAGGAGGGAGGAGGGCTTGTCATTGCTGTCTCTCAGTCATCCTTTAGTATTCCACTTCCTTCTGTTTTTCTGTTTTGTTTTGTTTCTTATTTTTAAGGCATTTGATGCCCCAGATGAAGAAACCCCAGCCAACCATGATGGAGAACATCCAGGCTGTAAAGCCCCCTGACTGGGAAATGGAAAGTAGAAAACATGAGAGGCCAGAGAACATCCTTGCATCCTCTCAGCTCACAGAGCAGGAACTCAAGGCTCTGACAGTCCCCTTACAATCCATCCCTGAAATGGAGTATGAAGCACCACCAGCTGATGCAGTGGTAAACACTGAAAGAGCCATCAGGACCTCTGTGGAGCTGCTGCAGGATGCGAGGAACTTTGCACCAAGCTACGAAGAGTTTGACTACCCTGGGGAGGTTTTCACCCTGCCAGGCCCCTATGAAGATGATGCTTTCCAAAACCTCGCTCTCTTTGAGAATTGCTCCCCAGCCTCTTCCGAGTCCAGCTTAGACATTTGCTTCCTTAGGCCTGTTAACTTCACATCAGAACCAGAGAGGACAGATCATGCCTTACAGCCATTGCCTAAGAGCTGCACTCCCGTGAGCAGCAGTACTTACAAGCGTGAGATGTTCCACAGCAAAGGCAAGCAGCTGAGCAGGTCTCTGAAGGAGCTGCCGAGGAGCGCTGAGGGCGTGAGCACCAGACTCTACAGCACACGGAGCAGCAGTGGGAGCCGGCTGCAGCAGAAACAGGAGAGGAATGTCCAGCCTCACATGATCTCAGCCTCATCTCGAAGCTCCCAAAGGAGCTACTTCCCCCCACAGAGAGGAGCGGGTGAAAAACAGAGCTTTTTGGAAGTAAGGAGGCTTAAATAGGAGGAGAAAAAAAAAAGGCACATGGTGGTGCAGAAGCAGCAGCAGCAGGAGAAAGATCTGAGATACAGTTAGGGCAGAACATGACAAAATAGCTTCCAAGTCCACACATTCAAAGTCCTCATCTGCATATACATGCCCAAGGGAGGGACAAGACAGCTCCTTTTCACACACATCTTCCCAGGGGGACAAGCATGGGCTTGAGGCACACAACTGGTTGAGTGACAGCTAGAAAACCCTTGAGACAAGCTAGCCTCTCGTGTCTCTAGCTGTCACTGAGCTTCCCCACAAGTAAATGTTGTATCTGATGAGGGTCATTAAGTAGGTGCAAAGCTGTTTGAAATTAGTGCTATAGGGTGGCACCCAGTTAAAAGGTGCCTTTCCACCTGCTGTGAGGAGTGCTGCTTTAAGAAAACCAATGGATTTAGTATCAGATCCTCAGCCGGTGTAAACCAGCACGACTCTGTAGAACTCAGCCCATTTACACCAGCAAGGATCTGGCCCATGGGTTTTGTTTCACCTGTGTTTGTTGCATGGATCGTAGACCCATGCTAAAGTGAAAACAGACAGAGCCCAGCAACCGTGTCCCTCAGACAACCACTGGCATGGCAGACGGCACTCTAGCCCTTCAGAGACACCAAGTTTTGCAGAAACAATGTTTCTGTAGTCTGCAGTGCCTGCTCAGAGTCAGCTTTGAGCTGTCACAGTCAGGAGGGAAGATGCCCTTCACACTTCCTGGGGAAGGGAGTGAGGGTGCTGTGAGGTGCTTAGCTAGTTTTCTCAATGCTGCCCAGAGAAACACTCTCCAGGGTGCCTTGTATGAGGCAAGATGCAGATGAGGCTGTAGATGCAGGTGATGATGGAAGGAATGTTCCAACAGCCTGACTGAAAAGGCAGAAAGGACACTTTGAAAGAAAAGAGAGAAAAAAGCCTAGTGAGTGAAGAAGGTGGTGGACAGCTGAGCAGGGGAGATGAGGCAGAGGGAGAAGAGCCACGGGGACACAGCCCCACCAGAAAAAGGAGCCCGTGAGCTCTTTGGCACTCACCTGCACAGAGCTGTGGCCCACAGCAGGGTGCAGATGTGGAGCTAGTCCAGAACTGCAGGACATATTCTCCCCCACAGAGCAAAGGAGACCACCATGGCAGCGGTGGGCAGAACTGGAGAAAAGGGACTTGTCCAGAGCCTTGCTGAAAGGAACTCGGCACTCTCCTGAAAGGGGGAAAGATCTTTTAGTGGCACATTTACTGCAAGGTGTGTGTGCTAATGAAGCCTTCTGCCCCACAGATATAAAACCAGACAGCAGCAGAGCCAACAGAAGAGTCTTTCACACCATATCAGCTCAGAAGCCTGAAGCCTCCTTGCCCTAGGGTAAACAGAGCTCATGAGCAAGGAGAGGGTGGGAAGTTCCTTCAACTCTCCATGCTGGCTTGCTCCCTCGTTGCCAAAAGGGGCTAGTAAGTTCCCCCTAAACAAAAAGCTTAGCAAGGAAGGCTCCAGTTCCCTCTAACAATGCTTATCCTTCCACTCCTCTGCCACTGTCTCAGCCTCAGAGCCAGCAACAAGCTCTCTGCAGAGGTACCAGTGCTGCCAAGGCCCAAGTGACCTGTTGTCTCCCAGCCTTGCCAGCACCTCCTCACCCACCAGGTCCCTCCTAGCGCAGAGAGAGAGAGAAGGGGACAAGGATGTGAGGTTGCAAATGCTGGTTAAATTGTCTTTTCCCTTTTAGGAGCTCCATGCAGAAGACAACACCAGGTTCTGCCAGAAGGATGACAATGAGCAAACATCCTTCAGCGACCACAACCCGCGGCACGAGCCCAAGGGGGGTTTCCGGAGCTCCTTCCGCAAGCTCTTCAAAAAGAAATAAGCAGCCCCAAGAAAGGCAGGCCACAGCCTAAGCGTGACAGTGCTTCCCCAGGTCCCTGAGGGTGGAGACAGACAGCAAGGCCCCAAGATCCTCCCTGACTAACACAGTAGGTGGAGGGGTGGGGGAGAGGAGACTGTCACAACTGCCTTACAAATGCATCCTGCTCTTCCTAGCACAGGGCAGGGCCAAGCTATGGGTTAAAGTGGAGCTCAGCCAGCAGGTCCAATAAGCACAGGAACTTGCTAGCTTTCACCCCTGCCTGACTTAATTTTTCTCGGAGTTTTGGAAAGCTTTGGCCAAATCCCACTATCTTCTCCTCCCCCTCATCCCCTAATGCTGCTTGATTTGCCATACATCTTTGCTCTTCCAAATTCAAGCCAGGTCTAATTTGGGCTCACCCACAACAGAGGGGTTACCTTTGCAGCCTTGGCATGCTGGCTAGAAGTCTGAAATTCCCCTCTTTCCTCCACTTTCCAAAGAAAAACCACCATCAAAGATGTCTTCCAGGATGCCAGTTTGCATTACCCTGCTGGTTTGAGAAGCTGAAGCACCTGGGCTTTGTACTACTTAATCAGCAGCATCCTTTCTTTCGGACTTCCATCACTCCCCAAAATCGTCCTTCACCTCTTATGTGGTGTGCTGTTTCTTGTATTGCCTCCTGCTGTATGGATCTCTGCTCCTGCTGTCGGAATTGCCTGCGTCTCCAGGCAGGTGACACAGGCTGAGCCCAGGGCCTGCCAAAGACTCTTCTCCACCTTATCCCCACTGTGGATCAATGCAGACACTGACACAGTCAACCAGTATCCTGGCTCCTCGTCTGTAATACACCTGAAATACTCTTTGCTAACTCTCTTTGGCCTGACACCACCTCACAAGCCCCATCTGTGCAGTACCCTGCTTTGGAGCAGTTCTAGCTAAAAATTGGCTCTAGGGCAGGAAAGTCGACGGTGCCCCACGCTCAAAGTCACAAGCCCTCCTTCTTGTGCAAGGATACTCTTCCTCCCACAGCGAGGCCACATATTTGCCATCCTCCTCACATCTCAACATGACAAACCCTCAGTAACGCTGTTCTCTGTAGAAGACTATAGCTTTTGTTAAAAAGAAAGTATGGAGAGAAACACAGCCCTCTGGTGTGATATCCAAGTCACATCCCAGCAGTAAGAACACTGTTGGATCAGGGCTATGGTGTTAGCTGAAGCTGGGGCATGCTGAGGGCAGTTTCAAGAGGAAACGTGGTTTTATCACCTTATTTTGGCAGGGTTGGGACACTGGTCTGCCATAAAGAACAGCTTCACCTGAAGAAGTTGTGAACTGTCTCCGTGGGGCCAACAGCAATGTCTCGGCGGAAATACACAAGGCTGTGAGATTAGGGGCTTAGGACTCCAACACCAGTGCAAGGGTGACTGAATCTGGTGCCAAGAAAAGAGCATCCATCATGCTGCATGGCTCTCCTGGCAGCGGCAATGGTACGGGGAGGCCCCAGAGCAGGTGTCCTTGGCTGCAGTGGCTAACACCCACTGCAGATGCAGGGCCTATAGCTCTCCCGTAGTGTCAACTGACTTGCATCTACCATCTGCTTTTCCTCCTCTGGTGGTTGTGAAGAGGTGTGTGTGAAAAGGGTTATCCACCTAAGACACACAAAATCCATCCTTTATCTCAATCAAAGTTTTCCCAACATTTAAAGAAAGTGACCAAGCAAAACCCGAGAGATTAAAATGTTTTAGCTGATGCCTGCCCCATAAATTTTACTGGACCCAAAATAGTTCCCCAAAATCCACTTCTCCTTACAAAGAAGAAAAAAGGTATCATCCTTTCTCCGTGTGTCGTCCCCCCCCCCCAGCTTTTGGAAACTATTCTGGGAGGATTTTTAATTTAAGGTTTTTAATGACAAAAAACCTTTCCATCTCTTTCCATCTCCCTCACATCCTCATTAAATTACAAATTCCCTGGCCCTTCCCAGTCAGGACCGCTCCACGCTGACCAGCCACTGCATCACAAAGACACTTCCTAGGACTTCGCAGCTTTTAGTCAGAGAGTGCAGGGCCAGGATAGAAATATGTAAGAAGAGCCAGATCTGAAGCATCAGCAAAACCTGTTTGTTCTGCAAAGGAATCAGCCATAGACAGACCTATTTTTCTGTCCATCGAACCAGAGTTATATCAATATGGACAAGTTTCCACTGTAAGGCACTGATGCTGTCAAGGGCTCTGATACTTGTGTCTTTGGTCTCATATATGACGACACTTCTATCCTTCATAAAACAAACTTGCTCCTCACGCTTGCCAGGCAGAAGCCAGGACAGAAAGAGGACAAAGGGGAAAACCTACCTGCTAACATCTCCTGGGTGAGGAAATCCTTCCAAAGTGTCAGACCCTTGCTTGTAAAATGCATGTGGATTTTAGCTTCTGTTTTAGTGATTTAAGGCATGGTGAGAATTGATGGTTCTTTCTGATCCTGTATGAGTTCTTACTTCCAGGCCTATACTTATAATTTGAAATGTCCTTGTACCTGCTCAGAATCTGCAAATGTATATAAAATGAATGAATGATGCTCAGCACTACACAGAAACACACAACCTCTTGCAGGATCCGATCAACTTCACCTTTAATATACGTGTGTGCTCTGGATTATTTTTCTTCCTGTGCCAAATAAATGTTGCTTTTAAGTAATGCTATTGTCTCTTTTGCACTGAATCAGCCATAAGGTTGCATCCATTAAAAGAAGAAACATGTTTTGCAGGTCCCTAAGGCAATATTACTTAAAAAATCCTGTTCCCTTGCACACAGAGTCATGCGAGAAGACTCTTTCCATACACGTGGTTCCAAGACTCTTACCCTGCACTCAGCTGACTCACTCTCCAGGCTTCTGGTCAAGATCCTGTTGTTGGTGCAGCTCACTGTGACATTTCTTCAGCTCCTTCCTCCATCTCCTTTACTCCTTCTGCTGCTTCTGTTACAGACACATGAGCTTTCACAAAAAAATCTCATGAGCCTCCTCCACTGACATACACACCACTGTAATTTCAACTATCCAACTCTGAAAGAGATCTTAATATCTTCCTGTATATCACAAACATCTGTCACATACCAAGTTTTTTTAAAAAATTTAATTCCAGTTCTGAGTATCAACACTATCTTACCTATGCCACATTCTCATTTTTGGTATACATATGCATTGATCCTCCTTTTCCCTTTACACATCTTCCTTTTCGACCTGTAAGTTAGCGAGAATTTCTCGAACAGGCACTCCTCGTACATAGGTAAAGCCATGAGCTCTGTAAGCTGTTATCACATGGTCTGTAGGCTTTATGGCAACTTCGAGCCCTACACAGCAAGCCTCCTGACCATCATATAAGTGGCAGAGCCACGAATAATCTTCTGCTTGTACAGCTGGTCAGACTTCAGCTCCAAAACAATGACGCCACAAACAGGGACAACTCAGCCCGTGGTGCTCACATCTCCCCATGCCAAGCGGCACCTGCAAGCACGTGTAGCATTCCTCCTACTGCTCTGTAGTTCCCTGCAGCATTGTGTCACTTGAGGACATCAGTCTCAGAGATTAGAGTATGCCAGCAGAGTTTTGAATCAACAGCCCAAATGCAGTTTTACTCCTGTGCAAATCTACTGGGGTGCTTCCTCCTCAAATCCCTTTCAATCATATGGATGCAGAACATGCCTATCAGCTAGCTGCTGGGGAACTGCCAGTGCCTGAGACAGCCCCCAACAGGACATGCTCTCATCATAGCTGTGACTCTTCTAGATCACCTCTCCATGCCCACAGTCCCTGCTTAAGTCAGCCACCCTAGACTCTTCTCAGATTATGGGTAACTTTGACTTTCAGTGCTGGTCAAACATATCCTCTCACCACTTCATTCCTCTAAGACAGCATAACTGGGGCTACTTCTAAGTTTATATAACTTAGGCAATTTCTCCTACTTTTTCCCCCCCGGAGTTGCAATGTATCCTGGATTCTTCTACAAGTTCTTAGAGCATTTTCACCTCAGTACAAGTCATGTACATGTACAAGTACAAATATTCCTCAGTAAGCGCAAAACCCACTTCAACAGGTTCCAAGGAATCCAGTTGCTTTTTCCAAACTACACAAAATTGTTAGGGCCCCTTGCTCATGCCTAAACAGGAGAGGAGCTGGGGCATGCGTAGTACTGTCTTTGGCTGCTGTTTGGTTTTGAGAGTTTTGTGGGGTGGATTAGATGGAGGAGGCTACCATGAATATTAAGCAGTTTCTACTTGCAAGTGGTTTTCATTTATTCACTCTGTTCTTTGAAAGCAGATGTTTTGCCCATTGCCAGATACAAGACATTAAACATAATGTCTTTTTATTTACTGTGATCTGATTCAACAGGGAGATGAGATGTAGGCTCTTACATGAAATTACCTACCTAAAAAATTCATACAGTAAAATTTAAGAGACAGTATTTACCCATAGACTGCAGATCCTTTGATGCAGTAAGTTGTAACAGAAAGATACAGAGCTGGAGTAACACCTACAATGAATAATCCTGTGGCAGAGACCACCACAGGTGTAAGATGCTATTTTGTGTCCCCTACTATACGTACACCTTGCTTATTTGTCTTCTACTCCATATGGTTCCTCTGCTTACACGCTACTGTGTCTTTTAGTATTTTACTATCCTCAGCAAAACCTACATCTGTAGCAGACTCATGATTGTCCTTAATGTAAAGCACACAGTATTTAAGCTTAAGGAAGCCAGTCTCAGACTACAAGGACTTTCAATGTATCTTACATATTCAAAAGTGTACAGTTCTGGGATACATAAGGCTTTTTTTTTTTATTATTTTTAGAACATATCTTTTAATGCCAAAAGGTAACAACCACTATTAAATTTTCACTTAAATGCAATCTGAATACCACTGCAGACACAGCATACAAAGATCACCTACAGACAGTTACGTACACAGGTCATCAGATGTGTCATACTCTTACTGAGACAGATCTCTCCCTCCCTGATTTAGCATAAACATACTCT